AATAAAGTTCAATTACTTTTCTTTCAGAGATTAGAAGAATTAAATGAATTTCCTCCTAAAAGGTTTCATCTCTGACAAGCTTAGATAAATCTGCATAAATTGATTTTCATTTGTCACTAATCCCTTCCTAATTATGCAGGCCTTATCTTGTCTAATGGAGTTCTCTAGAGTTTACCTCAAATCACATTATAATCACAATTAAAGGAGAAAATAGTTTTATAATTTTTAGTTAATATACAGTTAGACCCAAAAAATTAGCCCCCCCCCCCTCAGGCGCGCAACTACGGAGGGGGCAAGGCCCCCCTAGAGCCTGATAAAGGGAGGGCATACCCAGTTCCCTTAACAAGGCTTGCCCCTCCCCACTGTAGGGGGGGGGGGGTAATTTCCAATTTTTCAATTTAACGATTCATGAATTCCTGGGAAAGGGGGTTTATTAAGTATTTTTTAGAAAAATCATGATTTTTTAATGAGTACGATGTACATATTTAATTCATGAATGAATAATCTATATATTAATTTGGCTTGTCTGTTTGGGTGTCTGTTTGTTTGTTTGTATCCAATAAACGTCAAAACGGCTGAACTGATCGGGTCCAAATTTTTTGTGGGACATCTAGGGACCCCAGGGAAGGTTTATGAATGATTGAAATTTTAAATATTTGTTCTTTAATGCTTTACCATTGAATAAGTCTAGATTACTAAAAGTAATTATGACGGATTACTGAAGGAAAATATTTAGGGTTTGGAGCTTTTATATTGGATAGCGATAATCCACAACACTCGATATCCAGAACCAAAACTTTTAACGTGAATAACAGCTGATTCTCAACTGGGCAACATCCTGGTAACAAATGCTACGGAAAAGTTTGTAAATTAAAGACAGTTTTGTTCTAAACAATAAGAAAAGTTCAATTTCAATCTATTAGCTAAACTAAACTTTTTATTTGAAAACGAGCAGTTACATAATCGTTACATGAAACTAAAATTTACAATCCTAATCCTACAGTATTAATCAACTCGTAGAAAACAGAGTTGTCTACATAATTGACTTTTAACTTTCTAGCTTTCTAACTTTCTAGTTTACACTTATACACTTAAACCTCAGGATTAATTTCAGAAACAGGCATATATATAACAAGAAATTTAGAGGGAGTAGATAAAACATGAGAAAAGGAATTGAGTCTTTGCCACAAACTCTGATTTTTAAATCCTTATATCTTAACAACCCAATGCTGCAGACCTTAGATATTTTAACTATGACTTCTGTAATATCAAACAATCAAAGTTTGAAATATCAAAGAATTACATAATTTGGTTGCAGATATTTAGGTATTTGAAAATTGGGATTTGTTGCAAAGATTCAATTACTTTAACCATGTTTAACCCTAAACTTATATGTGAATTTGGAGTTAAGTACAACCTGGGGGCTATTCCCCCCCTTCCCCCCCCCCCACGGAGAGAGTTAAAGCATTAAGGTACAATAAGAGCGTGTTTATGTCAAATTTTGAGTTGATTAACGAAAGAGGTGTTGGAGGTTAAAATGTAAAACATTGTTTGCTTTTATCTTAGACAAATATTAAAATCTAGGTAGCAAATAGGGTTTCCATTCGCAAAACTTTTGCGCAATTTTTGCGGAACGAAACGCAATATTTTTCTTTCTTTGCGCATCAATTTTGCGCGAAAAAACAACAATTTGCGCAATCATTCGCAAAAGTCATTTTGCGCAAAATTGCCCTATTCCGCTTTTGCGAAACTCAAGTTTTGCGCAATTCCGCAACAAGAGTTTTGCGAAATCCGCAATTCCGCAATTTCGTAAAAATTAAACGGTTGGTGACGGTGTGTGTTTCTTAGAATTCAATTCTGGAAAAATCTTGTTTTGGAATGTCTTCCTATTGGTCACTTTTACATAATTGACCAATGACAATTAAGAAGAGTTCAAATCTCACAATTTTCTCGACAATTTTAGTTTTGGACATGCATATTTACTAAAAGTGGATTCTTCAGGTATTGGTTACTTTCTTGCATTATTTTATATGAGATTAAAAAGATTTCAGAAATTTGATTAAAAAATTTAAGAATACAATTTATACTCATGATTAAGCAAAGCTTTTAAGGCCGGGTAACTTGAAATTATTTAATAGGATTAAAATATTGCCAAGTTTCACACTCTCTAATTTCTATTTTATTAATTTTGGTCCCTTAATTTAAACTTTTTGTAACTGGAAGTAACCAATTGAGTGTAGTATAATCTTTATCATACTCGTATGTTAATATTTTTTTTTGCATATGGAATAAATCTTCAGTTGTTTAATTCTAAGCTTAGAATATCAATTTTTGACAATGTGCCTAAAAAGTTACATTTTGCGTAAAACTTGCGGTTTTGCGCAAATTGCGCAAAATAAATAGCGCAAAACCGCGCAAAAATCATTGCGTTTCATGCAAAAAATAGCGCAAAAGTTCGCAAAAATTTTGCCATTTCGTGGAAACCCTAGACTAGCAAATCTAGTCAATTTAAACGTGTATCTATACCCTAAAAACTATAAACAATCTTATAATTCCTCAACTTTCTCAAAAATTAAAGCGCTATTTAACAGTTAGGTTCTTATCTGCAGAAAACTGTGACTTTTGATCACAAAGGAATTGACTTTTTGTCACAAACTCAAATTTTCTGATGCTTATATCTTGCCAACCTAATAATGGTGTAAACCTTTTATATTTCAAACTTAGATCACTTGAACTAACACAATTCATAGTTTGAAATATCTAAGGATGGTCTATGACATTGGGTTCTAAAGATATAGGGATTAAAAAATCAGAGTTTGTCGCAAAAACTCAATTCCTTTACCAATTAAACATTTTTGCGCTATTTCTCTTTTGTACTTTTAAGTTGGTGAATGCGTTTTAAACAAAAAAGTATTCAAATCCAACAATGTAAAATTAAAGATGGTTGAGTTATTAACCAAAACGTGAATGAATTCAAATAGAAAAAATTAAAAGTATTTAGCCCAAATGTTGTGTGAGATAAATCCTCTGCAAGAACAACAATGGCGATATAACAACAAAACATTTATCTGGAATAAACAGGAACAATTACAAAATATTTCCCAGATGATTTAATGTATTTGTTTTGCTAATTTAAACTGTATTTTGTTTAACTACATGCCCCGCAATTAAACTATTGTTTACGATATTTTGCTTTTGGTTGAACATGATTTAACTGGAAGTGAATATTGCACTTTGCTATTCACTTAAACTGCACATCTCTCTACGTTTTTATGAATGATAGGAACACTTATTATTAATATTAAACATTTCAAGAGAATAAAGCTCTTCGCTCATGTAAATACACATGTATATATATGTATGTGAAAACTAAAAAAAGCTGCTCTGATTGCTTCATAGTTATATATATATATATATATATCTTACTTTAGTCTATCTCCGTATCCATATGAAGGTTTCATATATAAGCAAAAAACATTGTGTTTATGGTTAAAACGTATAAAACGGATTTATTTTCATTAATATATATATGTTCGCTATTGCTGATCAAACGGCTAAACAAAATTGGCTGACATATTTAGTGAAAAAGCAACAACAAAATTTTAATTCCACGGGCAACACCGGACACTTAATACCGGTGGGAGTAACTTTGCCTTTTAATAATAATATAAACCTGGGCAACGCCGGGCACTCCAGAAAGTATATAATATGGTGAGATCGATGGTATTAAATCTATTATTAACAAATTTCCTTTTTCTTTATTGTAAATAAATAACATTTAAAAACCAGTTTTCTATGTTTTGTAAATAAATCAAATTTAAAAACCAGTTTTTATTTCATGTTCGTGACATAAACAATCTCTCAAGAACTAAAGAGAGTCAACCCAGACCGAAATATATTTTCAATAAATATGGAACTAACATCTACTTTATTTACTCTCCAGAGGTTTGGTCCATCACCATCACCGATTTTTAAATACAATTTTTAACGCTTTAATGCGTTTCATAAGTAAAGTTTTGTAAAGTTAGAATACTTGTAACTTTGTTAAAAAAGATTATTTTTACTTTTTGCAATTCTCAATTTTCTACCAGGGGGGCCCCTGCAGATTTTACTTTTCCAGTTTCGTTTATAGGATAGATAGATAGTGGAGACTGATTTTTTAGAAGGAATTATGGAGGGGGGGGGGGGTGCAATAAGAAATAACTTCAAGTTTTTTAAATTGGCAAGTGTTGCTGAAAGTTAAAAGTTTAAAACATAATGAATAGAAAATCTCCTGGTGATCTATTCTGTCTAAAGCTTTAAAGTTATTTAATTAAACTGTTAGAAATTGTATTCATAAGTTTGCATGAATATGCATCTTATCTTAGAGTTTCCTTTCACTCACAGCATGAAACTGTTAAATTTCTAGGGTTCGCAAATTTTCCATTTAAACCTAGCTATGTATTTTTAAGATATGTTTATATTCTCATTGCTAAATATCCTAAATATGTATGTCTTTGTTGAGTATTTGAAAATCGGCCTTAATTCAACTGCATGTCCATAAAATGCTTTATTTTGAACAAGCTTTAAAATTTGACCAAAGTGTTTTGTTAACCCCCCCCCCCCCCAACCCCACCCCTTTTTCATAAATTGGTTTCCACTGACTTTGTATTAAAGTAATTAAAAAGTATAACTTAGATGAATTCTGGAACACCTATAGCTGATAAAAATCTATTTTCTGCTTGTAACTTTGCTCAATTATGTGCTCGCAAAGAATAAGACTTTGTCGAGTACCTGAAACTCTTTAAATGTGACCGTGTTCGTAGGAAGGTGGAATAATGAATTTTGTACCTCATCAAGTTAAGGTACAGTGGATGATATTTCAAAGATACAATAACTGCCATACTGCAGCCTGCAGGGTACTATATAATTGTAAGCAAAAGGTTGTTTCTGAAGTCTCATTCTCTGTGGGTAACCAGCTGTATGTATCCTCTACCCCCTGTAGTAAGTTATTGTTTTTTATTTATCATTTATTTTTTTCCGATAGAAGTTACAATATTATTAAACAATTAAAAAACAATATTTTCAGCACTGATAAACACCGTGTAGAAAATAACTATTCATAAGTTTAGAACTATAAAGGGGAAATAGAAAAGAACTGATTATTTGCCACAAAATCATATTTTCAAATCCCTTTTTCTCTAGCTCTGCAACTTTTTAATAAATTGGAGAGAGGTCGCTTAACTACCTACCACTGACTTAACTCTTGAATCCTCGGTTCAAATTTAAATAAAAATATCTGCAGTTGAACCGTCTCGAATTAGTTCTACGACTCACAATTCATTAAATCTGGTCCAAGACGTTTAAATCGTCCACTATTTGATCGAATAAAAATCATTTTTTTTAGAATATCAGAGGTCTCGACATAGGTTACAACTGGATCAGAAAATTAGAGTTTGTGGCGAGTAATCATTTCCTTGCTGGATATTTTCTAAAATAATATATTTTTATTAGCATGTTTTTTTTAATTTTAAGTGCAGTTTACTTCATGTAAAGTGTGTATCAAAGTCATGACTCTATTCTTTAAAAGACCTAGTTATATATAGTAAAAGTAGTCTGATTTTTCAAGTACGGCAAAAATATTCTTTAAAAAGTAGTAAACGTTTGAAATCTTCAGATTATAAGTATTTTTAATTGAATAACACATTTTGCACTTATTACAGGGGGGGGGGGGCTTACAATCTAAATTATGAAAAAGGTCAAAATTAATGAAAAATATACCACAAAGTTATAGGCCTCATTTGTTTTGTCTTTCTATAGTCTCATTTTTCTTTGGAACATACTTCATACTGTTGTGCAAACAGGGGCGTATACGAGGGGCTTTTGGGGATAAGCCCCCCCCCCCCTTGATAACTGAAAACCATCGTTACCAGCCCCAAGGATGTTTAACCCCCCCCCCCCCTCCTTTGACAAATTATGCGCCCTGCAGTTAGCAAAAGCAGCCTGCTGAAACTATATTAATTGGCCGGGTTGATTTACAAACATTAGGATTGTTAAAGTTAAGATCGAGTGATAAGTGATAATAATACTAATTGAAGAGATTGTAGTGCTGACAACGGTGAGATAGATTTTAGAAAACTGGACTGATGGTTACTTTAGAAGTAAAGATTAAAGAGAATAAGTATTTAGAAAACTGGACTGATGATGGTTGCTCTATAAGTAAAGTTTAAAGAGAATATGTATTTAGAAAACTGGACTGATGTTACTCTGGAAGTAAAGATTAAAGAGAATAAGTATTTAGAAAACTGGACTGATGGTTACTCTGGAAGTAAAGATTAAAGTGAATAAGTATTTAGAAAACTGGACTGATGGTTACTTTAGAAGTAAAGATTAAAGAGAATAAGTATTTAGAAAACTGGACTGATGGTTACTCTGGAAGTAAAGATTAAAGTGAATAAGTATTTAGAAAACTGGACTGATGGTTACTCTAGAAGTAAAGATTAAAGAGAATAAGTATTTAGAAAAATGGACTAATGGTTACTCTAAAAGTAAAGATTAAATAGAATAAGTATTTAGAAAACGAATTTTAATCTTTGCAAATCAACCCGACAATATTTTACTTTTTGAAATATTTATTATTAGATTCAAGTTATGTTTGTGTAAATAATTCTCATTTTATCCATGCAATGACAAACACTACGTTTAGAGAACCAATTTGTGACGCAGCTAATTGATCGATTGATTGACTAATCTTGATGATATCTGTATGCAAGAGGTGTACTTTACGTGAGCGCAGCAATTATTACAGTAGTTTACACAGATTTGTGATATTTGGTTTGGTTTGATGCTGGTTTTTTGACTTGTGAGGAGACAAGAAGAATGCCCTAAAATTGATTCAAATTCTAAGCTGTGTTTAACTTTAAAAGTTTAAAGTTTCAAATTTTTCTTAGGATCATCTTGGAACTTTAATTAGAATTAGAACATTAATATATGAATTCAACGAAATTAAACAACAAACTAATGAATTCTTAGAATTTGAGTCTATCCTTGTATCACAAAGATGAAGAAGTTCATCTCTCTTATCCTTCTTCCATCTTTTTCTTCTTTCCTGCTCCCAGTTTCTTTCATACCTTGTACAGTTCAGAGTACAATATACCCAGTACAGTTTATAGTACAATATACCTAGTACAGTTTATAGAACAATATACCTAGTACAGTTTATAGTACAATATACCTAGTACAGTTTATAGTAAAATATACCTAGTACAGTTTATAGTATAATATACCTAGTACAGTTCATAGTACAATATACCTAGTACAGTTTATAGTACAATATACCTAGTACAGTTCATAGTACAATATACCTAGTACAGTCTATAGTACAATATACCTGGTACAGTTCATAGTACAATATACCTAGTACAGTTTATAGTACAATATACCTAGTACAGTTCATAGTACAATATACCTAGTACAGTTTATAGTACAATATACCTAGTACAGTTCAGAGTAAAATATACCTAGTACAGTTTATATATATTTCCTTTATTGTTTAGCGTAGTTCATAGTACATTAGTATCGTAAGCATAAGGGAATTCAGCCTTTGTCACAAACTCAAATTTTGTACTTCCGATCTGTATCTAAGGTGTACCGTGTACAATAGTGGGTTGCAAAGATTAAGGGATTAGAAGATCTGAGTTTGTGGCAAAGGTTATATTTATCAAATAGATTGTCAAGTACAATAGATGGCAACGTAGAATTTGTACGCTCTCAGTACAGTTGTATTCTGTCGTCACAAGTGTCAATTCAGTTTTTGTGTCCGACAAAATCATCAATAATAGTGATAATTTTAGAATAAAGTGCTTTTCTTACAGTGAAATAAGTGCAATTTTATGTGTTCTTTAGTTTCCGTTTTTACACTTTTTTATTTAATCTTGGAAAACATGTCAACTAATTTGAGAAAATTTCATTGTCCTTGTTATACTTGACACTTGTGACGTCATGTATAATTGGTTAATTTCTCTGTTGCCACCTATTGTAATTGATAATCTATTTGATATTTATAGTTTTGATTTAGTGGTATAAAAAAAATAATACTTGTTTAGAAAATCTGTTTGTGATATACTGGTGAGACCTCCAACACCAATCTGTATCAAGGAGTACTCCTCGTTGTTCCTCCTCAGCAGGTTGAGGTGACAGTCCGCCAGATACTGGAACACCTAGATACAAAATTTTTGCTCCAACCATATATATATATATAACCATTTTATCATATTATCCTCATATTTGTACGTAGTAATCTGAAGCAGTAAAATCGGTGGTTAAAATATTATTTTCAATTAACTTCTCTTATTGATGAGCTATGTAACAAATGCCTTAACTCCAATAGCCTGTAACAGCCTGTATCAATCCAGATACAACTCTCTCTATATTCTTAAGTTTGTATGAATCCAGATACAACTCTCTCTATGTATTCTTAAGTATGTATCAATCCAGATACAACTCTCTCTATATTCTTAAGTATGTATCAATCCGGGCTCAGTTTCATTTGCCACATTATCTTTGCCATAATTACACTTGCCATAATATCTTTGCCATAAGTAACACTTGCCATAAGTTACGCTTGCCATAAGTCACACTTGCCATAAGTTACACTTGCCATAATGGTTACACTTGCCATAATTACACTTGCCATAATTACTTTTGTCATAATTTTCTAATTTTTAAAAAGATATAAATCTGTCTTTTTTATTGCAAATGCGGGAAATTTTACCATGAAAATTCCCAACTTTAGTTTTCTCATTGTTTTTAGCAGACTAGTTGACTCAAGTTCAGCTCCATATTTCCTCACAATGGAGAACCGTTGAGACCACAAGTAAGGGTAAACCAATAGTTCGAGACAACAACAACTACACCTATGTAGACAATGCCTTGATTACAGAAGTAAATTATTGGAAATGTTTGGCTAAAATGTGCTAAGTTGCAATTCGAACCCGAATTCGAACTGTCTCTGAATTAGATTGTAATTTGTATTTAATTTGTAATTAAAAAATATATATCTATATGTTTGTTAATTCTAACCAAATTTTAATTATGGCAAGTGTAATTATAGCAAGTGTAATTATGGCAAGTGTAACCATTATGGCAAGTGTAACTTATGGCAAGTGTTATTTATGGCAAGTGTTACTTATGGCAAATGTATTATGGCAAATGTAATTATGGCAAAAGTATTATGGCAAATGAAACTGAGCCTCAATCCAGATACAACTCTCTCCCTGTATTCTTAAGTATGTATCAATCCAGATACAACTCTCTCCCTGTATTCTTAAGTATGTATCAATCCAGATACAACTTTCTCCCTGTATTCTTAAGTATGTATCAATCCAGATACAACTCTCTCCCTGTATTCTTAAGTATGTATCAATCCAGATTCAACTCTCTCTCTGTATTCTTAAGTATGTATCAATCCGGATACAACTCTCTCTCTCTCTCTGTATTCTTAAGTATGTATCAATCCAGATTCAACTCTCTCTCTGTATTCTTAAGTATGTATCAATCCAGATACAACTCTCTCTCTCGCTGTATTCTTAAGTATGTATGAATCCAGATACTCTCTCTGTATTCTTAAGTATGTATGAATCCAGATACTCTCTCTGTATTCTTAAGTATGTATCAATCCAGATACAACTCTCTCTCACTGTATTCTTAAGTATGTATCAATTCAGATACAACTCTCGCTGTATTCTTAAGTTTGTATCAATCCTGATACAAAAGTCTCAAACTCTATACTCTCTACTGAGAGCTAATACGTCTGACCGTAATCTATATATAAATTTGGCTTGTCTGTTTGTTTGTTTGTCTGTCTGTCTGTCTGTTTGTATCCAATAAACGTCAAAACGGCTGAACCGATCGGTTAAATCTGGAACCCCTAGACTGACTAGGGAAAGTTCTTAACTTTGCTGAAGATTTTAAGTTGAGTGAATTGACTTTTCTTGGTAAAAAGTGATGACACAGATTAAAGAGATTTTCAGGTGTTAACAATATAAATATACATTAAAGGTAAGAGAGAAGGGGTTGTGTGCACTTTTTACTGTCACATATTATGACTACTAGACTAGGAACAAAGATTATAAAGAAATGTTCCTGGGCGGGGAAAGAAAGTAAAAAAACTTATTTAAATTTTGTTCCAATGTTCTTTTAATTGTATAGATCTCAGAAACTAGGTACAATCAGATATTTCATACCACTTACAAGTGCCAAAAAGTGTTTTACAGATTTTCCGATAAAACGAAAGAATGAAAATGACAATCAATCCTTTGTTTGATTTCTCACTGTATCTATGTTATCTCTAAAATGTTTCACTCATTGTGTAAAACAAACATACACATTTTCTAATTCGTGTTTACACAGACATTATGTCTGTTCACTCCCCTTACATCGTGATATTTAAAATCCCGATTTCGAAGAGAAACCATCATGAACAATTTTGCAATACTTCAATTAAACGAGTTTAAATCACGAGAATGCCTTTCTGGGTGAATAGGAAAAAAATTTAAAATTATTTCTAGATTTTACAGATATTGTTAGTTTAAAATGTACTGTAGTCGTAATTTCAATTGATTCTTCATTTGTAATATGGGGACTGGGGTGTCTGATTCACAACCGTATCGTTAAAACCTTTGACGGTAAGGGATGATCACGCACCTCTGCCCTATTAGTAAAAGTAAATTGAACTTACATGAAGCAATACGTCTGACCGTGTCAACCTATGGACTGGCTACCGTTCAAACTAGTACCGGAAAGGTTGACCCGGCTCGGAAATTCAAACGTACTACGGCTGCCCGTGTGATAGAATTATCCTTATTTACCCACAGAAACTCTTATAAATGTTGTTTGCAAGATGTTTTTATTCGAGAAATTTGATGTTTATTTTCTAGAAATCGCAGAAAATAAATATTTTAAATCAATTTTTAAAAATCGCGCTGGAAATGGCTATTCTGGATTTTCGAGAATTATATATAATGTCGGCTTAAACTATTTTTAACACATTTTAAAGTTAAATGCCTTCTCGATCATCGGTCAAGTGTTCATTTGAAATTGTCCTCGTTGCATTAATATTAATCATCACAACGCTTGCAGACCCTTGAATTAAGAAAAAAAAAATGTTGTCTTTATAAGTTCGTATTTTTACAATGAAAAGAATGTTTACAACAAAGAACTTGCATAATCTTGAAGTTCCGTAGAAATTGGAAATTATATTCACAATTAAAAGAAAAATTGAGCATTTTTAAAAAGATTATTTTTATGAAACACTTCCCTCAATTTCTATTTTTCATATCCCTCTAACTTTACAATCTGATTGTGTACAATTTTGATAATTAACTTCAACTTTTTTATCTCATTAGGTTGCAAAGATATAAGAATTAGAAAATAAAAGTGTTTGTTCCTACGTATACGGTTTTTACATTACGTATTTATCATAATCCATCAAATATTCTCCCTTCTAAATATATTATAAATATGAATATACATATATATATATATGACGAAATTTGCTTGATGTTTAAAGGGACTTTAAAGGAAAAATTAAATGGGGTATAGACTGAAAGCTAATCACTTTAGCTCTGATGTTCTTGTCTCAAGAAATTGAAATAAAACTGAGTCAAATATTTACAAAAATTAATTAATATATAATTTTGTATAGAAATTGTAGGTTTTAATAGATCATATTTAGCAAAATTGCAACCAATCTTAGGTTTTATCCCATTATTATTTTATAATTTTTATTTTTATTTTTAGTAGATATTGTTGATAATATCATTTATAAGTCACCAGAACTCCCAGCAATGGTAGTGACTAGTGCAGTATAGTGATCATTTGTCTCTGTTGTATCATGTGACCTGTATTCTGCACTCTTATTGGTGGGAATTCTTGTGACGTGATATGGATTTATAAATAATATTAAAAATAAAAAATATAAATTATAAAATAATAATTGGAGAAACTCTAGGTTTCTCAGGGAAATCCTCGTGTTTAGATTGGTTGCGTATTTGCTGAATATGATCTGTTTAAACCTACTATTTCAAACAATTTTCAATTCTAACAATTTTTCAAAGACGACGTCCCAAGTGGCAACTTCTCAAATGGTGCAATTTCCCAAGTGGCAACTTTCCCAAGTCCCCCAAGGTTAGGTAGAGCATTCTGAGGCGCCGCAGGCTGCTATGGTGACGAGCTAGCGCCTCGGCTAGGATTGGCTAGATGCCGGGCTATGTGGCTAGAGCAGGCTAGAGTCCGAACGCTGCGGATAAGACAGACTTGGTAAATTGCCCCTTCGGAAAATACTTTTGGGAAAAATCCGTTCGAGGAAACCCCTTTTGGGAAAGAACCTAACATCATTCATCAATTTAACAAAAGTTTTTCCACGCAGAAAGTGAAAGAAATAACTGCTCCCCCGAGATAAGCAATAAAAAAGTTCTGAGTAGAGAAGGTCATGTGTCATTCAAATACAAACTAGAGTTTCCAGATATGCCACGTCAAATTAAATAAATTTCAAATACAGACTAGAGTTATTAGATATGCCACGTCAAATTAAAGTAAATTTCAAATACAGACTAGAGTTACTAGATATGCCACGTCAAATAAAAGTAAATTTTAAATACAGACTAGAGTTACTAGATATGCCACGTAAAATTAAAGTAAATTTCAAATACAGACTAGAGTTACTAGATATGCCACGTCAAATTACAGTAAATTTCAAATACAGACGAGAGTTACTAGATATGCCACGTCAAATTAAAGTAAATTTCAAATATAGACTAGAGTTACTAGATATGCCACGTCAAATTAAAGTAAATTTCAAATACAGACTAGAGTTACAAGATATGCCACGTCAAATTAAAGTAAATTTCAAATACAGACTAGAGTTACAAGATATGCCACGTCAAATTTATGTAAATTTCAAATACAGACTAAAGTTACTAGATATGCCACGTCAAATTTATGTAAATTTCAAATACAGACTAGAGTTACTAGATATGCCACGCCAAATTAAAGTAAATGTTTAAATGTTTAAATCTTAAGGAATGGAGTCTTTGCCACAAAATCAGAATGTTTAACCTTTGAAATTTCAACCTGAGAAATTTTTTATCTAAAAGAATTTATAATTTGAAATAACTAATGTCTACGACATTGGGTTGCAAAATCACAGTTTGTCAGAAAGACTCAATCCCTTTGTTTCTGGCATACTTATGCGTAAATTTTAATGCTAGGAGACACTAGTTCACCATTAATGTCACCTAAACTTGCTCTTCTCCATCTATCTCACTGCAAGCTAGACAGGAGGGGAAGGTAACATTTTTGCGACATCACTGGTACGACTTTGTGACCTCTTAGTTCCGCTTGTTTATTTATGTTAATTGTTAATTATGAGGGGGAAAAATTGTCCGGCTTCACACTCAAATGTATTTATTTGTTCTTTTCCAGTCTTTTTAACTTAAACTATGAAGTTAAAAGGTTGAAATTTTTTTAGTTACTTGTCTATATATTTATTTAAATAATGGTGTAGGCATTTGATTGTAAACGATATCAATGTAAAAATGCTTGACAACAGAAACGAAGCTTTAAGATATATTTTGTCATTAATAAAATTAATTCCGTCTTTGCCACAAACTCTGGTTTTCTAATCCCAATATCTTTGCAACCCAGTGTTTGGCAGACCTTGGATATTTCAAAGTATAAATTCTGATAGATCAAATAATTTAAAAATTTAAGTTTGTATTAATAATTAAGGTTGGAACCATCACTTTGCAAAGTTTGTGGCAGAGACCCTTCTAAATTTTCTCTGTTTCCAATTTCATATACCATACCATATTTATATTATATATTTACATATTTCTCATAATTTTTTACCTTATTCACATTCAGGTTCTCTTTAACGGATGTTTTGATGAGACGCATTCCAAGATTTTTTGCCAGACGGTCTACTTCAAAACTAAAATAGAACAGACGGTCTACTTCAAAACTAAAATAGAACAGACGGTCTACTTCAAAACTAAAATAGAACAGACGGTCTACTTCAAAACTAAAATAGAACAGACGATCTACTTCAAAACTAAAATAGACCAGACTGTCTACATCAAAACTAAAATAGACCAGACTGTCTACATCAAAACTAAAATAGAACAGACGGTCTACTTCAAACTAAAATAGAACAGACGGTCTACTTCAAAACTAAAATAGAACAGACGGTCTTCTTTAAAACTAAAATAGAACAGATGGTCTACATCAAAACTAAAATAGAACAGACGGTCTACTTCAAAACTAAAATAGAACAGACGGTCTACTTAAAAACTAAAATAGAACAGACGGTCTACATCAAAACTAAAATAGATCAACGGTCTACTTCAAAACTAAAATAGAACAGACGGTCTACATCAAAACTAAAATAGAGTAGGTCAAAATGGAGAAGCCGCCATGTGTTAGGACTGACTTAAAGCAGTAATAAAAAACAAGGACAATAAAATAGATAGGAAAATGTATTATAGAAGTGGATATTAATTTAAAATAGAAGTGGATATGAATTTAGAATTGAAGTGAATAAGAATTCAGAATTGAAGTGAACAAGAATTTAAAATAGAAATGGATAAGAATTTATGATAGTAGTGGATAAGAATTCAGAAATAGTTAAGATTAAATTTTATTATTTTTATAAAACTTCGTAAAGAAATGGTAAAATAAAAATAAAATGGGTGCAAAGTCTTGCTTGCATAATGCTGCAAAAAATCTTTCTTTTTCTTTATTTTGAGATTAGGAAAAGGTTCTTAAAGGAAAAGGATTGATTGACAGATGAATATAAATTGCTGGTTTGAGTATTCCCTTGAGAAAGAATTCTGTTCTACACTTCTTATTTGTTTCATGGAACGAGGGAGGGGTGGCTGAACATATTTTGACAAAGACAGTAAAAACAGGATAGCAAACAGTAAAGTCTGGTTTAGTAAAAACAGGATAGCAAACAGTAAAGTCTGGTTTAGTAAAAACGGGATAGCAAACAGTAAAGTCTGGTTTAGTAAAAACGGGATAGCAAACAGTAAAGTCTGGTTTAGTAAAAACGGGATAGCAAACAGTAAAGTCTGGTTTAGTAAAAACAGGATAGCAAACAGTAAAGTCTGGTTTAGTAAAAACAGGATAGCAAACAGTAAAGTCTGGTTTAGTAAAAACGGGATAGCAAACAGTAAAGTCTGGTTTAGTAGAAACGGGATAGCAAACAGTAAAGTCTGGTTTAGTAAAAACGGGATAGCAAACAGTAAAGTCTGGTTTAGTAAAAACGGGATAGCAAACAGTAAAGTTTGGTTCATTTCAAGTGCCGGTCCGACTGTTGTTAAGAGAGCAGGGTATTGGTAGATTTATGATTCAATAATCATTAAATCATTAATTAAATCAATAATCATTGATTCTTTACCACAAACTCTAATTTTCTAATCCGTAAATCTGTTAATTCCCATGTCGGAGATCCAATTCCCATGTCGGAGATCTAATTCCCATGTCGGAGATCTTATATTTTTCAAAATCTTAGTTGGTCAAAATGTCATCTAAAGTCAAATCTTGCTGAACTTATTGCCAAACTGTTAAATCTGTTTAATATATATATAAAATATACCTGTCTACAGCTGAATTATAAAGAAGATCCATTTTGTTTTGAACCAAAACCATTGGTATACTTCCACACTCCTCCTCAACCTTCTTCTTCCATCTTCGGACCTGGAAATAAAATGAAAAAACAATATTAAATATAATATATTTTATATTATATGTTATATATTATATATTATATATTATATATTATATAAATATAATCAAAATTTCCAGAACAATTTTAGAATATCTATAGCATTTTGATAATAAGTAGAAGAAGGAAAAAATCCTTCATTTGTCGAGTCTTTTTGTTAAAGTAAAGTGCAGGAATTCAATTTAATCTCAGTTATATTTGAAATCTCATGTTATATTGTCGAATTTACAGTTTTAAAAGAAAAAGGAGAAAAGTTGAATTGAATTGTATCCATTTTATATGCTATTTCTAAAGTAAAATCTAAATTTTAAATTAAAGGAGTTGATTCTTTACCACAAACTCTGATAATCCCTATATCTTTGAAACCCACTGTCGTAAACCTATGATATTTCAAACTTTTATTTTTGATCTAACAGAACTCATAGTTTGAAATATCAAAGGTATACGACATTGGAATCTAAATATATAAGGATTAGAAAATCAGAGTTTGTTACAAAGACTCAATTCCTTTGTCAAAACCAAATTCAAATTTCCTGTTCACTTTCTCCTTGAAAATTAATTATTTTCAATAGTGATTTCTCTATAAAGGTTTAAAGGGTAAGAGTGTAAACCAAACAGTCCCTTTAAATGATGAAGGAAAAATATTGAATTGTCCCCACCTGGTAAAAACTGTCTCTGTCTGTGGTTGAAAATGTGATTACACACGCCTGCGCTCCTCTGAAAATATAAAATTAAAAATAGCAATAGATAAGGAGCATCATTTTTATTTTGATGATAATGATAAAATAATAACAATGGAAGATAAAGTTCTTATCAAACTTCTGTAGAATAATCTAAAACTTTCTTCACAGACGAACTGCATAAGCAGATCATTTGTGTGACACTATTAATGCCGAATCTTGATTTTTCGGTAATATTGAAACAAAAAAAATGGTTGATTCATAAATAAATTATGAGTCCCTATATGATGGTGTAAATTGTCTTTACCACAAACTAAGATAGTGGAATTCCTTATTCTTTGCAACCTGATGATGTAAACCTTTGATATTTCAAACTTAAATTATTTTATCGATAGATTAGTAACAATACAGATAGGACACTAGATGTCGTCTTTTCAATATTTAGGGAAAAACAATAACCCTGAGGCAAAAGCCCACAGGAATTACGCGCAAGCTTTCTCTCTGTGTTTTGTCATTTAACGCAGAACGCTGCATGCACCTAACTGCTTTGTGCTTCTGCATCAGGTTTATTGTGAAGAAAAACCCCTGAATCTTGAAAAGACGTTTTCTAGTGTTCTATCTGTATTGTTATTAATCTATGATTTGATCTGACAGAATTCAAAGTTTGAAATAGCTAAGGTCCACGACATCGGGTTCAAAAGAAATAGGAATTATAAAATCTGAGTTTGTGGCAAAAACTCAATTCAAGGTGGAAATGAAGAAGGATTAGAAAAATTATAATTCATCAGTTTATATTCAGTTCCTTTAGAGGTGTAAAAAATGGATTAAATATAAGAAAGCATAGCTCACATTGTACCAGACGGCTAGGCAAATTATCAATTTTTAAGACTTGGTTGACTTTGAAGTATTGCAATGCCTTGGTCTTTGTTTTCGCCTCACTAATTCACTTACACTTTTTGGAGCCCTCGAAATGTAAATTTTAGATCTATAAAGCGTTGTTATAGGCTTGAGTTGAGATAATTGGCAAAATCAGAATCACTGTATGCTCCTTCTTGCCATGATCTCATCCTTTATTAAATTTCATTGATCCAAAGAATACGAATTTGTACTTTTCTATGCAAAAATTACGTTCGCTATGTTTGAAATAATTACGCTAAACAAAAACTTCTCATTCTCTAAATAAACACGAACTGGAAAATATCCCGGGAAGAAAAGTTATATGGAACTAATGATGAGAAATAAAACTTATAATGGAAACAAATATATAAATAACTCTCTGGAAAGTATTGTAGTTTTTTTATGACAAATTCTTATAAATTCTCAGTGTGTAATTTTTTGTTTTTGTTACTTAATTTACAATTCTTTAAGAGAAAGTGCAATTAAAATAAGCAGTTTTCATAAACAAGAACGTGAATAACGTTTTCATACTTGATCAGACAAAGGTTTAAAGGGTACAGTTGTGAATCAGGCATGTCTGCAGCAGCACTCTATTAATGTTCGATTTGAATTTTCTAATTTGACCAAAAATGTTTTCTACAATCTTTATATTTCTCTTCTTGTTCTGACAGTGACAAACTATTACTCAAATCTTTCCATTACTTCTGATAAAACGAAGGATGATATTTCCTCTAAAATAAATTCAATAAAAAAGATTAAGGTCCCTGTTCAAGCCTCTAAAGAAATTTCATAAGTGATATAAAAGTTCAAAGAATTACAAAAAGTTTATTTAAAAATATTTATGACAAACTAAAATTGTAACATTTTATTAATAACGTTTATTAAGAATAATGATACGCAAGTATGTTGTTAAAAAAGATCTTGATAAAAAAAGATAAGATACCTGTAGTATGCTCTGGTAATACAATCAAACTCTTCTTGTCCCGCAGTATCCCATAGCATCAATCTTACATCCTCTCCTTGTATACTAAACAATCTAGGATATATCATGTCCAACCCATCCTCTCCTTGTATACTAAACAATCTAGGATATATCAGGCCCAACCCATTCTCTCCTTGTATACTAAACAATCTAGAATATATCAGGCCCAACCCATTCTCTCCTTGTATACTAAACAATCTAGGATATATCAGGTCCAACCCATCCTCACCTTGTATTCTAAACAATCTAGGATTTATCAGGACCAACCCATCGTCGCCTTGTATACTAAACAATCTAGGATATATCAGGTCCAACCCATCCTCGCCTTGTACACTAAACAATCTAGGATATATCAGGACCAACCCATCCTCGCCTTGTATACTAAAAAATCTAGGATATATCAGGTCCAACCCATTCTCTCTTTGTATACTAAACAATCTAGGATATTTCAGGACCAACCCATCCTCTCCTTGTATACTAAACAATCTAGGATATATCAGGACCAACCCATCCTCTCGTTGTATAGTAAACAATCTAGGATATATCAGGAAACTATCCTCTCCTTGTATACTAAACAATCTAGAATATATCAGGTCCAACCCATTCTCTCCTTGTAAACTAAACAATCTAGGATATATCAGGTCCAACCCATTCTCTCCTTGTATACTAAAAAATTTAGGATATATCAGGCCCAGCCCATTCTCTCCTTGTATACTAAACAATCTAGGATATATCAGGCCCAACCCATTCTCTCCTTGTATACTAAACAATCTAGGATATATCAGGTCCAACCCATCCTCGCCTTGTATACTAAACAATCTAGGATATATCAGGTCCAACCCATTCTCTCCTTGTATACTAAACAAACTAGGATATATCAGGCCCAACCCATCCTGTCCTTGTATACTAAACAATCTAGGATATATCAGGACCAACCCATCCTATCCTTGTATACTAAACAATCTAGGATATATCAGGTCCAACCCATCCTATCCTTGTATACTAAACAATCTAGGATATATCAGGTCCAACCCATCCTATCCTTGTATACTAAACAATCTAGGATATATCAGGACCAACCCATCCTATCTGTACACCAGACAATTCAAGAAACTGAATCGAGATTTGATAGAACCTATAAGATGTTTGTACTTTCATGTTTCAGACGTACTTTGTTCAACTAAATCATTTATAAATTTTCTCTAATGATGAATTAAGTTTTTAGGAAAAGTTAATCTGATTATATTGTAAAAAGAAAATACTACCGAAAGAAGATAAATTTTATGAAAAAGTTTTGAAAATGGTTTTATACATTTTAAGATTTTTAAAATGGCAATCAAGAAATTAACTAAAGAATTTGAGTTTTTTCAACAAACTCAAATTTTCAAATGCCAATAGCTTTGCAACCTGATGGTGTAAACCTAAGATACTTCAAACTGACACTACTTGATCTAACAGAATTCACAGTTTGTGGGAAATACTCAATTATATTTTCCCAAAAAAACTTACATATATTTTCAGATTTACAATGGCTGGTAAAAATATGCCTTTTATAAAGAATTCTAAAGGAAAACAAATCTTTTAAAAATGAAGATATTTAGAATATTTTACCTGAGACGTTTCTCCAGGAAGTCTACCCCTATAGTTTTCTTATATTCGCTTGTAAATATTCCACGACAATATTTCTGGATCATGGAGGATTTTCCAACTGCGCCATTACCCACGATCACAATCTGAAGAAATATAGAGATCTAGTATAAAAAAAAAATAAAAAAAAGGAATTGAGTTTTTGCCACAAACTCAAACCTTTTAAAATTCTATATCTTTGCAACCTCATTGTTTATACCTTCGATGTTTCAAATTTCGAATATTTCATCTAGCAGAATTCATAGTTTGAAATATTAAAGGTGTGTGACATCGACATGCAGAGATAGATGTATTAAAACTCAGATTTTGTGGTAAAAACTTCGTTCCATTGTCCATACAGAGTTGAGAGCTAAACTACTTTTTTCATTTCATGGCCGAAAGACGTAAAACTAATATCACATGTTATGATTGATAGAAATATTTTTAATCCAATCATTTGCGCCCAACGAAATTAGAAATGTGCTAGTTATTTTTTTATTTGATCGTTCATCGTTCGTTAAAGAGCCATTTTGTTCGGTTTTTTTTAGTCATTCAGAAAAAAAAAATCTTTAGTTCTTTCCAAAACTCGTTCGATAATTGTCTCGCTGGTCAAAAAATGTAAACGATTGTTAATTTCGTTTTTCTTCGTTTTTAAAAATCTACATTATTCTTTAAACGATCAAAATTGTTCGTTCATCCTTCGTTAATTTTTCTGTCCATCTGATTACAATGCCCAACTCTATCCCAAACCACCCCCTTCTAAATAAGAAACCATGATATGTTAACAATTATTTTTTCTTTCTGTAATGTTTTGAGCAATATTGTCTGCAGAAAACTATCTAGTATTCTGTGTACTGCTTCATATATTCTGTGTACTGCTTAATATATTATGTGTATTGCTTCATACATTCTGTGTACTGCTTCATATATTCTGTGTACTGCTTTATATATTCTGTGTACTGCTTCATATATATATAATCTGTTTATGTTCCCTCAATTAGCCTACAGTGCATGACCTAACTGCAAATTGTCAACCCTAAAGCGGAAATGATACTTATTATGAACCCTTTAACCTAAATGTTGGCGGAACTAGAATTAGAAGTTTTTACACACACTTCAGATATATTTTGTTATGTAGTTTAGGTCTCAATGTCACTGCAAAACAAAATATTTATTACGGAAAACATGAATTTTTAATATATGAAAGAAACTGAACAGTTAACACTACTAATCCTTCAAACTTTTCAATATATTTTCGTAGATTTTTGATATTTTAAGCTATGAATAAAAATTTTGATAAAGCAGAATCAATAGTTTAACCCAATAACGAGTGGGGTAAGGGGTGGGGGCTGTGGTTTTTCTAATTAACTTTAAAACGGCCTACTTAAAAACACTTACTTAAAATAATTGTTATGCATTGGGAATGCTGGAAAACAGTCGAACGGCTGGTCGGTGCTTCAAAAAAAATGCAATAACTTTTTTATTAATTAATCTACCGGGCTAAAATCTAAAAATTTAAAAAGCCATTAAAAATAGATGTAATAAAATGTGTCACATGCTAATATTTGTTAAAAATAAAAATAATTATTTCTGAACATTTTTCCGTACGTTTTGGATTTTTTAAAATTCTCCCTTGCACGCTAACCATTAAAGTTATAGTTATATTTTTTTTAATGAGCAGGCCTTGACAAGTTGGACTATAGGGACATGTTTCACTGCACTTCCCTTTCTCAATTCAAAATCATGGAAAACTGAATATGAAGAAAAGCAGGAAGCTCATCAAGGAGTATTGATGATGTTAATCAAATCCTTACTTTATCTTCTCATACAAAATTAAAGGTAAATGACTGTCTGCAAAGTATAGTATATGTGCAAGATACCAATGTCCGAATTTAATGAATTTGAGCAGCGTCTCAAATCCACTAAAATTGAGCGTCGGCTTAAATCTTCAAACATTGAATACATTTCTAAGTGGAAACAAACCAGGAAACACAACTGGATGATACAACTAGATGATAACTTTTTGTCACAAGCTGGGTGAAATCCGGGTGCATAAACTCGACTTAAATTCGAGTTTTTGAATCCCATTTTTTACCAAGTCAGGATGAAAACTTGGATTTCAAAACTCCACTTAAACTCGACTTTTTTAATCCCAGTTTCTGTGTCAATATATTCACAAAACCTCAACTGCACAAAATTGTATTTTTTAAGTGAGAATTTAATATATTTGATGATTTTTCAGGAGAATTGATATGTAAGAAATTTTATGCAACTATTTTGAAAAATACAATGTTTCAAAATTTCTATCATTTTGGAATAAAACCGATGTTTTCATTAGAATCAATGTCAGTAAATTATTGATTTTTTTATAAATTTAAGTTCCACTTAGGCATGGTCTTGTAATAGGAATAACGGTAAGTGAATACAGTATAACATTTATTAAATATGTGATTGTTAAAGATGTGTGCTGTATGTATGTAGGGGTGTTAATTTAGATTATTAAATATGGAGGAATGATACTGGGGTGAATTTGTAAAAAAGAATACTGGATTGGATTGCTGATATCTGGATGATATGTGGGTTATATCATCCAGATATCACCCACATATCATCCAGATATCATCAATAAATCACCCACGCATATCATCCAAATATCACCCACATATCATCCAAATATCACCCACATATCATCCAAATATCATCAATAAATCACCCACACATATCATCCAAATATCACCCACATATCATCCAGATATCATCAATAAATCACCCACACATATCATCCAAATATCACCCACATATCATCCAACACCCACATATCGTCCAAATGGAAAGAAAAGGAAAAATCGAATTGGGAAATGAAAATATTTTATATTAATGGGGTTGTACTGGTTTAGATACTTAGCTACTACAGGATAGTTCTTATACATTGTCCTGGTTTAGCCACTTAGCTACTACAGGATGGTTCTTATACATTGTCCTGGTTTAGCTACTTAGCTACTACAGGATAGTTCTTATACATTGTCCTGGTTTAGCTACTTAGCTACTTCAGGATAGTTCTCCTAGATTTTCCTGGTTTAGCTATTAAGCTGCTACATGATAGTTCTCCTACATTTTCCTGGTTTAGCCCTTAAGCTACTACAGGATAGTTCTCCTACATTTTCCTGGTTTAGCTATTCAGCTACTACAGGATAGTTCTCCTACATTTTCCTGGTTTAGCTATTAAGCTACTTCAGGATAGTTCTCCTACAACATTTTCCTGGTTTAGCTATTAAGCTACTAAAAGATAGTTCTCCTATAACATTTTCCTGGTTTAGCTATTAAGCTACTAAAAGATAGTTCTCCTACATTTTCCCGGTTTAGCTACCTAGCTACATCAGGATAGTTCTCCTAGATTTTCCTGGTTTAGCTATTAAGCTGCACTTCAGGCAATTTCTCCCGAATTTTCATGGTTTAGCTATTAAGCTATTTTTGGTTAACTATTAAGCTACGAAATGCCAAGTCTCCTTAGTTTAACTATCTAGCTAAATATTCGACTCCTTTCTAGCTAGTTAGCTATTTTACTCTGAAAGCAGTAGAGTTCAGGTTTAGAAAACTAGATCTTACGAGACTTCAGGACAAAAGCGAATAAGAAAAAGAAAGTTTTGAACCTATGATATGAAAAATATTTAGTATTTATTTATTCTGATATCTATCAGACTGTCAGAATTCGTTCCAAACACATAAATTATGAATATTATGTTCTACCGTTGGTTCTACTGAAAATATTTTAGTTTGAAACCCTGGTCTTATAAATATGATTCTTATTCAACTTTTTACCCTTTTTATTTTTATTTCTTTTCTATTTGTCAGAATCTTTTTTCTTGAATCCCATTTCACACTTTTCATCGACTCATTCACGTGTGTTGTATAAACAGGAAAATCATCTTCAATTCACACTGTCAGTAATTTAACAAGAAACTTGTTCTATTCACCCACAGTTAACAACCTTCTTACAAAGAAAAATGTCCGGGAGAAAAACAAATCAATTTACCAAAAAATAGCAACAAAAAAAGATGTTTTTTTAACATTTCAATCCTTCGGGGCCAAGTATTATTCAAAGAATCTGAGTTTTTGTAACAAACTTAAATTTTCTAATCAAATTGATTGTATAAACCTTTGATATGTCAAACTTAAATTACTAGATCTAAAAGAATTTATAGTTTGAAATATTAGAGGTCTACAACATCGGGTTCCAAAGATATAGGGATTAAAAACATCTTCGTGGCAAGAATTCAGTTCCCTTCCCTCATTATTGATTTGGAAAGACATTTATAAAAAGACAGCTGTGCAATAAAATGAGTTATGCTTTTTTATTATCTTAACAAAATAAAAAAGTACTTTACGGGCTAGTGCATTCTATATTGGTTTAGAAACTTTTTCATTTATAAAAAGACGGCAATCTCATTATTTTAACTTTTGGCACTTTAGCCTTATCTTATTCTAACAAAACCGATTGAGTTTAAAATACAAAATGTGTTATTTTAAAGTATTGTTTCCATATCTATGTAGGTTGCTTGCCAGACAGTGGGGTTGCATGATAATGAATTCTTGACCCCTCTCCAGATCTATTTATAAACATATTTACAAATTCATCTGCCTGGAGCACGGAAATGAAAAATTAAGAAAAAAAAGCAAATGTAACAAAAAAGCATTTTTAAAAATTCCCTCTCTATTGATCGCCCAACATAAAATGCATCATCTATTAGAAATCAAAATCTGGGTTGGAAATACTGCACCATAGAAGAAGAAAGGAACAGATGTTGGATTATATCAAAGATAAGAACTGTTAAAGATTTAATGATTAACACAAAAAGGAGATTGTAAAAAGCTTTTTGATTTTGTAGGAACTAAAAATCACTTTAAAAATCTAATAAATCTAATCTAATTGAATGATAGATTTTGCACTAGTGTTGCAAAATGCCTGTTGTCTGGGTTTCAGCAAATGAGATGGTTGAGGGTTCTAGAAAAATCTTTTATTTGACAAAATTAAACGAAATTGGATCTTATTGTAGAAATATATTTGCTCCCTGCTGGGATTAATAAAAACATAATTTTCAAGTGAGGGGGGGGGGGTAAACCCAAATTGTCCTGCGCATTTTCTTAAACATCACATAGTCCAGACACAAAAACTTAATAAAAAAATCTTCTTTTTGTTGTCTTCGGATGACGGTTTATTTGAATGCTCCCTTAATAGAAAAAATTAATTTTATTTTATTTTCACGACGTCAATTATTAGTTTATTCTGTTCAAAATAAATACAATTTTCAAGAAATATGTTCAAAGGTAAGCGCCCATGGTGAATATTTACATTTAAACTATAAAAGTGTTTACTTGCAACAAATTATACTTTTTTAATGTCATTCGAAAAAGGGGGTAATTCAAAATTTAATGTGTCAATCATGTAAAGGATTTTAGTTTTTGCGCCAAACATTTTATAATCCCTACTTCTTTGCAACCTGTTGGTGCAAACATACAAAATTTCAAATTTAGGCTATTTGATCCAACCGAATACTAAAGGTATACAACATTGGGTTGCAAAGATATACAGATCAAAAACCAATTGTAACAAACCTTAATCGCAATCTCAAAATCGTCATCGTGAATATCGGTAATGTACATCCTTGTACCTCACTATATTCGTTCACTAATTGTACAACGTGTACATTCAAAGTGTACACCCTCTGTAAAATAGGGAATTCCTTGTAGAGTCACGAAACCATTTAGGCTGCGTAGAACTTCAATATCACGTCTGCTCTGTTCTAGTGTTTACAGCGAACTGAAGAATGAACGGATGTGTTTCAGAAGATTCGCACTCGTTCACTCAAGATCTGTAACCCGCGGCCTACGCAACAACAAACGCATGCCGACGCTAAATATACGCAAACACGCTTCAAACGTACGCAATTAAAAGGTCCCTGTAGTTCCTTCTCCAATTTGCCTATTTGAGCGTATTAGAAGAGGTTTGTACTCAGTTTTACTGTTTATAGAAATCAAGTTTTTTATACAAAATCTGTTCTCGCCTTCGGTTAATAATCCGTATCATTCTCAGGAGTCAGGTTTGCATTATAGAAACCCAACTTTCTAGTTTTATCAATTAATAAGCAGCAGGGGGGGGGGGGGCTGTTTGCCACTGTTTCTGTATTCTGCCTTTCATTTAAGAATTTTATCTATTTTTTATGGGTTTAAAAAACTGGGTGAGAATTTGAAATAATTATTTTAAGGTTTGCCCTGGACTAACCGGGGCGAGATGGGTTTGGTTTCTTCAATGTGAATTCAATCCCGGTTTTATCTATATATTCAACAATCTTTTAACTTCACGAGTTGTCTTTTTTCATTTAAAACGCATACGCCAACAAAAATAAAATTTTTAAAAAATGCGATTCTGTGATAAGGACCGAACTTTTAAATGCAATTACAAATGTTTAAAATTCAACAAACATAACAATTGGAAAATGATAATAAACAAAAAGGAATTTAATTTCTAACTGTTTTTAGAATAATTAACATGGGGGGGTAAAATGACTATAGGTATAAAATGATGATTATATGACGAGAGGTTGCGTGAAGATGAGTAACATGTCAGGCCTGTTCCTGATTTAAAAAAAAAACAATACTTTGTTATTCATATCAAAATAAATCTTAAATATTCCATTTAGTTTTGAAATTTGAAATTTAATGTTTTGAAACTCTTTTTGATTGGTGTTTATAGTATTTTGATTTACTTTGACCACCCCCCCTCTCCCCTCTCCCAAACCCCTACGTCTTTTGGACCTTTTGGTTGCAGCAACTCAGATTTTGTTGATCTTCTGTAAAAAAAAATTAGCAGAATGCACAAGTTTTCCAACTTTATACGCACACTGAAAGCGAAATCTTAAAAGTAAGAAATTCTGTTAAATTTTTTTCTTTCTCGTCGCTGCCAACATTGAGAAACCGCAACAGAAAATGATAAACTTTCAGATATAAAAGAAAGAGTATCTACAATATTTTTTAGTAACTGTTGTGACTTAGGCTGTTATGCTTGTAGTTTTTTAAAAAGGGAATAATTTTATATTGCATATTTTACAAGTTTGAAAATGCTATATTGCATATTTAACAAGTTTGAAAATGCTATATTGCATATTTCACAAGTTTGCTAATACTATATTGCATATTTCACAAGTTTACAAATGCTACTTTGCATATTTACAAGTTTGCAAATGCTATAATATTGCATATTTTACAAGTTTGCAAATGCTATATTGCATATTTCACAAGTTTTCAAATGCTATATTGCATATTTCACAGGTTTGCAAATGCTATTTTGCATATTTACAAGTTTGCAAATGCTATACTGCATATTTTACAAGTTTTCAAATGCTATAATATTGCATAATTCACAAGTTTTCAAATGCTATATTGCATATTTCACAAGTTTGCAAATGCTATTTAGCATATTTACAAGTTTGTAAATGCTATAATATTACATAATTCACGAGTTTGCAAATGCTATAATATTGCATATTTTACAAGTTTGCAAATGCTATAGTATTGCATATTTCAAAAGTTTGTAAATACTATGTTGCATATTTCACATGGCATTTTTGAATTTATAATGATCTTCATATCTAGCTCATCTGAGTAATTCTTTGGTGTAAAAAACATTGTTATATAACTGTAAAAAGCTGGATTTATTTCCAAAAGATTTATTTTTATTCATTTCTTTTTCTACAGTACATTGCGATACCTTTCAACCTGCTAATGCAATCAACTCTGCCTTTAGAAATAATTGCTACAGATACAGAGAAAAACTGGGTTCTATGGCGTGAAAACATCAAACAAATAGAAAATAAGAAACCTAAACACGATGTCCCAAATTCCAATATAAAAATAGAGAAACTTTTTTGAAAATGTCGGCTTCTTCGATGGTTAGTAAATAACACAGTGAATTTAATTTAAAAATATTTGTGCAGTGGGCCCTATAAAGTTGTGGACAAGGAAGACGACTATTACAGTCAAATTATGATATTAAATAGTCCTATAAAGGTAAAACACATTAATTATCAGCCTGCATCCATTTCACAATATTAATAAGTCTATTTTAAGCTACCGGTTACCCTATCACCGTTTTGTCTATTTTTATCTAATTTAGATTGGGGGGTGTTTCAATTCCCCCCCTCCCTCCTATGATTTTGTCCTCAATGTTGAGTGGGAGTGCTCATGAATTTAATTAAACCTCTAGCTTTATTGGTTAGGGTGCTAGGTAGGTTTTTAAAAAATTTTAAAAGTACGTCGGAAAAGTGTTAATTTTTTTACTTGTGATAAATATTAACATATGACGCACGTTCTAACAGTAATTTTTTAAAGGTTTTTTTAAATATTTAAATTTAAGCTCTGTAGCTTAATTAATAAAAAAAGTTAATAATCAATTTTTGAACACCGATAAGCCGTTTGACCGTCCTCCACCCCACCCTATGCATAACAAAAGTTTTGTCAAAATTATTTTACAACTATGAGGTTAATAAAGTAAGAAGTTTGAGCGTTCAAATGTATGCCGCTTAAAAGTAATAAAGAAAAAACCATAGAGCGGGGGGAGGAGGGTGGAAAACCCCCCCCCCCCCCCACAGTGATAGAGTAAAAACTTTGGTTGCTAAGAACATTAAATTCACATAGGCTTACTTAATCATCGTCTTTCATTTTCTAAGTTTAATGTGTCCTACTGTAACAAAACAAAACAAATTAAGTAAGTGGTATTTTGTATATACTCAGTATTTTGTACCAATCTTGAAATTGTTTTTAGACTTCAAAAACTATATTCTAAAACAAATCATCAACATAAATAATCAGAAAACTGTCAAATAGAAATCCAATATCAAAGCAACTCTGAATTGCATTTGATATTGTTACAAACCAAAAGCTTTACTAATAACTTGTCAAATTACTTATACAGTGAAATGGGTCTGTTTACAATGCACAATTGCTGTCTCTCATGTTCATTGGACTCTGTAAAGTCATAACTTTAGTTTAAAAGTCGACTTCCTTTTTTTCTGATTATCACTTATAAGTATAGGTAATCTTGAATTTCAATGATTTTTCAAAAAATGTCACAAAAAAAATGTTTTTTTAAAGTGAGATTTTATTTTGTGATATGAAGTCTTCTTTAATTTCAAATCAGCATTTTAAACCAGATTAATTTTAAAGTACAGTTAAACCCTAAATGAGCCTATACATCTAAACAATTTACTGTCTTGACAATTTCTAAATGGGTTTTATACTATTTTACGTAAATCTCAGTATTTGCGAAAATAGATAAATAGCCATGAATATGCGGGAACAGTTTTAATAAGCTTCATATAATCATTTAATTAAAAAACTAAATATTTGCAAAATTCCATTGTCAGAAAGTAAAGAATACGACATTTGATGAAGTCTTTCGATGTATGGCTTATTAAGGGTTTAGCTGTAAAAAATAATATATATTTTCTGAATCCTTATGAATTATTTCTTTCATAAAAAAAGATGATTATAAAATCTGAATTCTATATTTAGCTTCAAAGTTATGTTTATCATAAAAATAATTAAAATCACTGCAATTTTTAAAAATGTCGTCCTATGTAACTTTTTTGAACTCACCTACAAACAGATGTTAAATATGTTTATTATTGAGAGCTCAAGCAATAAAAAGTGTTCAGCACAACATTTCTAGCTTCAATGAAAACGATTTCTATTTGTTAATAAACTTAATTTCTTTATATGCATTAGAGAGAAAAAAGCACAACTAACATTGGATTAATTCAACACTCTTTCAGAAAAATGTTTCGAAAATTAAAAATTCGTATAAAAAATAAATCGAAATTTTAGTCTCCCAGGGTTCCCTCAAAAAACGTTAGCCCATTTGGTTCAGCTGTTTGGTCAGCCAATATTGCTAACATATATTTACAAATATATATATATATGACAGAAGAGCTTTATAAAATAGATTGCCATGGCCCTATAAAATAGGACACTTTAAAATAGTTTAATAATAAATTAGTTTGTGTCCTAGCAAAGTTGGTTATTTTTTATTCTACAGGGTGTCCCAATAAACATGGGAAATCAGTGACGAATTTGATATCGTCTCTTCAAATAATTTTTTGAGTTTCGTCTGCTATGTTCACACATTTTGTTTGTTTATGTCTTGACTGCATAAGGGTGTACTTAGTAAAACAAGAAAATTGCAGTATACAAACAGAGTAAACTTGTTCGTCTTCACTGTTTATCTTCCGGAGACATTGTAGACATATCTTTACAGTCTTTTACCCTTTTCATAAAATAAACTATAGCAGACATAATAATATTATGGCTTTTGAAATTAGGTTTTACAATGCTAATTCATAACAAAGACGATATCCAATTCGTCAGTGAATTTCCATGTTTTTTGGGACACCCTGTATAAAAGTCTGAACGTACAGAGTTACCCACAAAGGATGAGAATGCAAATAAGATTTGAAACTCTTTAAATATGAAAATCCCAAGTTTAAAAATTAAATAATCTGTCTTGAATAAAGTCTTTAAATAGGCTTATTTGATTATTTAGAAAAGAAAGAAGACAGTTTATAGTTGCTGGAAGTCATGAACATGGAAATAGACAGCATAGATTCTGTACAGTCGTCTCTTAAATATCATCCTTTGTGGATAACCCTGTAGTCTTTTTAAAAATGTATTTGAACAAACAAGAGATGGATATTTACAGAAAGTGTACTCTGAATATTTGCCAATACTCGGTATGGAAGATACATCAGGAATGCAGTGGAACCTATGAACTATAGGATAGGAAGACAATTTTTTTTGAATATTCCACACGGGCAGCCGTGGTACATTTGAATTTCCGAGCCGGGTCAACCTTTCAGGTCCCAGTTTGTACTGTATCGCCCGGACATTGGGTAAATAAAGCAGACTCAATAGGACTAGTCGGTGCAACAAGGTTGACGCGGTCAGACTTTAGGTTTAATTTACTTTTACTAAAGGTTCAGAGGTGCGTGTCCGAAGAACATGAAACATCACAATTTTGTAGTGTTTTATACAAAGACCAACTTCACATAAAAAGAGATGTTAAAGCATACAATTGCTTTATAAAAACAACAAACACATTAAATATTGTTTTTTCTTCCTATTCCGCAGTTTTATGGGTCGCACGTCATTCGGAGAAATATAAACTCAGTAATTATTTAACTCCTATAGTCCAGAGATGAGATTCTAAAAGCTTAAACCCGACTAAAACCCGGTCTTTGCGTCTGCTTAGACCCAAGTAAAGCTCAAGTCAAGACCCGGGTTTTGGATGGCCTTGAGTTTAGTAAGAACCAACCCTCTTGGGTTTTACTCTCTTTAAGGTTCGAGTCTTCTGCAGGTGATGATCGTAAATTTCGTAAAATCTTTTATATTTGTACATTTAAAATCTCGGGAATTATTTGTAGTCCTATACAAATAGATTTACAATAAAACATGTTTTTCCCTAGATTACATCTGCTTGAAAAAGTATTCTGATTTATTGAAATAAAGTCATGTTTGGTGAAACTACCTGTAGAACCTATTGTCGATATATCTCTGTTTTAAATTGTCGTTGACATAAATGATAAAACCAGCTGTTTATAAACTGTTCTAAAATCAGCTGTTTATCAGCTGTTATAAAATCTACGTGTTGAGTATTATACGTGTTCTGAAAACATATTTGCAGTTGAACTTATCTGTGGACTGGTGACACATGTTTAATGCATAATAGAGCTACAAAATCAGTGGAGCTTCTTATTTTTTAACAGTGTTTTGAATATAAATATTTTCCACTATTTCTCCCTGAAATCTCACATTAAGTTAAAAATTTTAAATTTAAGCAGAATTACTGTAAAAAATTCTTGTAAATAACTTTAAAAAAGGATTTTCTTCTTAAATATGAAAAATTCGAATCTAAAAAGAATCGAATTGAGTTTTTGCCACAAATTCAAATTTTCGAATATCTTTGCAATCTGACGATGTAAGGATGAAATTTCAAACTCAGATTATTGGGTCCAGCATAATTTGAAATATCTCAGTAAATAACATTGGGTTGCAAAGATATAGGTATTGGAAAATCAGAGTTTGTGGCAAATACTCAATTCCTTTTCACGATTTCAATGTGTTCATATAAAAGTAAATTTATTTTTATTAATGTTTTCCAACCTATTATTCAACTTAAGCAAGTAATGAATACAGTTTGTATAAAAACAATTAATAGTAAAAACATAAAAGTTTTAGTAAGTTTGTTAATAGAAATAAAATTTATTTTTAAGAAACAAAACAATCTACAATGAATTTTGAATATTTTTTATTTGTTGTCATTGAAGTGACTAGAAATTGTGTCAGACTTTATTAAATAAAACCAAAATTACTCAATTTTTAATAATATAATAATATAATAATATAATAATAATAATGATAGTTTACAATATATATTATAACAAAATATGTACAAATTATGGTCATGGGATATAAGCAGTGATATACCCAGGCATTTGGGAAATTCCTATTTTTTTATTTATTTATTTATAGGTTTTAACTGTACTCCCATTTCAGAATATCATCCAAAATTAAAAGTTTTAAAAACAAAGGATTCATCAACTGGGTTCTTTAAAAAGTTGGTTAAGGATTTATTACTTTTCGGAATTGTCCTATATTATAAAAAAAAAACTTGCTAAACTCTGAAGCAATATTAATATCCCCCTGAATAATATTCCTATTTTCAATGAAATACTCAGAAGTTTTTGAATTTTCTTCAACAGTAGCTAGAACTTCTCATGTTTTCTGCCATGTTTTTTGTTCTTTTCTATTTTACCTGAATCGTAATTTATTTTTGCTGCCCTACTAAAAATTTTATAAAGGATTGAAAAATCTTTAAACTGTTGAATATTGTGTAAGTAAGCTAAGGTGTCTCTGCTATTGATGTTAAGGTTTCATGTGAAATAGACACCAACCATAGCGTCCAAAAATCGTCAATAAAGTACATTGTATATAAATCAAATAAAAAATATTATGAAATATCAACTATATATGAATGTATCGAATTAAATTCGATAATAATAAGTTACAATTACTATAAAAACAAGTTTTAAGTAAATTGTTGATTAAAAAACTAAATTAAACAATTTTATGAAATATTAATTGACAATTGAATTCAACAATTGTAGAAATTGAGTTGAATTTTTTACGATTTGAGTGAAATAATACAATTCTGTGAATTTGCATAGGTCCTAGGCTGTTTGTAATGGGTCGTTCTTATAACCATTTTCTCAATACAGAAATTAAATTCGACGTCAACTATACTCCCTTATATTTTTCGCGAACACTCCCTTTAAACAAATATTTTCATTTGAATTGTAAGCGCAGGTCAATATTAATGTGATAAATAAGTTATTTAGGTACGGATATAGTGATGGTTGCACTTACACTATAAATTCAAAACTGTACAGTACAGTAAGAACCGGAAAACTCTGGACTAGAAAGTCGACTTTTAGACTCAAGTTATGACTTTAATTAGTCCTGCAATAAACTTGAGTCACAGTCGTTTAATAACTTACTAGTAAGGCTATTCGTTTTGTAACAAGATCAAATGCACTTCAGTATTGCTTTGATGTCGTCTTCTTATTCTAGAGTTTTCTGGTTATCACTATGGTAATATGAATATTATTTTGTATAATTGTAAATTATGATTTAGATGTTTGGACAGAGTACAGTATGTTTGCTTCTAACAATGTTAAATATATCTCTGGCTCAGAACTACCCGCCTGGAGTACCTGTTCCTAGAACTCAAGGTAAACAAAGTCACTGCAAACCAAGATGTATGTGCTCTCACGCAAAAATAGAGCAGTATTTTTCCAACTACTCCTATTAAACTTATGCTAGAAATACTCGCATTGCAATTTTTAAATGTACACGCCTAAGGCTACAGGGTGTCCCAATAAAAATGGGAATTCAGTGACGATTTTTAAATAGTCTTTGTAATTTTTTTATTAGTCTTCTCCTTGTCTCTTAATTCCCATTTTTATTGGGACACCCTTGTACAAAAAAGTAAAAGTGAATAGATGAGGTAAAGCCAAAGACCAAGGAATTGCGACACTTTACAGTCCAGGCAGCAGCCTAAACATTTGATGAATAACTTTCCTGAGCTGGGAACTTTAGAATGGAATACTTTTTATCCCGACTGCTTAATCCGAATATCCAATGTGGACACTTTTAATTTCTTGCTGAATCCACTCTTTTTTAATATAGCACAGAAAAACCAAAAACCGGGTTTTCAAAATTATAATGTCCCTCCCATTTCTGTATATTAATCTCAAATGGCGCCCAATATTTCAAATTTCCCGGCTTCTGATACGCAACTCTGATTGGTTGAAATTTATACACTTTTCAGGGTACAATTACAAGACTAGGTTAGTCTCTAGATTAAGAAAAAGAGAGGATCAAGCATTGATCTCGATCTCCACCATTCTAAAGTTCCCAGCTCTGGTTGTCTAGATCTCAGTGCAGTAGAGCATCGGAATCAAAATCTTCTTTGTGTCATCTTTTAACAAGAAATATAGCTAAACATGTGATTGATCTTTAAAAATGTTCAAAGAGTAAGTGTGGAGTATTGTTAATCTTGAACGCTTATTATCGATATCCAATGTGGGCACTTTTAAATTTATAAGATTTGTATAAGTTTATGCAAGTAGATTTGCCTTAGCTTACTTTATTTGCATAATTCTTGCTTCTTCTTGAAAATAAGCAATGCAAGGAGATTTTTAAATGTCGTCTTCCTTTTAGTGAAAATATTGTAATATTTGACTTTAAAACAATAACAATATCTTCTAAGCAAAAGTCTTTATGGACCATATTCTGATTAGCATAATCGATCATCAAGATCGTTTTGAAAAAACTCAGATCTTTATCAATATTATCAAATTCAACATAATCTTTATCAAAAACATCTTTATCAGAATCTTTAAATACCCTGCCTTCATTATAACCTTAGACTAAAGTCTGTGATCAAAACAAAAATCTTTATGAATAAAAAATCTGTATCTATTTGATATTACCATAATTAACATCTGTAACAGCGTCATCAATAATAACAATACCTTTTTATCAAAACAAAAATCTTTATCAATAATTTCAAATATTACATTATCTTTAACAATAATACCTTTCTTAGCGCCATCATCAAAACCAAGATCTACATCAAAATGATTAAATTGAAAAATAATTTTTATTAAAAAATTTAGATATTTCTTAACATTATCAATTTTTACATTAATTTTATTTTCGTCATTTTTATATTTATTCAAAAATACGTTTTTCTCAATTTCATTGAATCACAAATCATATTTATGAAGATCCAAGGCCGGTTTGAAGACGACCTGAATACAAACCAATCTGACGATTAGATAATTAAAGAAATAAAAAAAAGTGGAAAAAGCCAGATAACAGTAACTGCATGCATAGAATGGTGCCACACCTATAACGATGCTAAATTCATGAAAAAAGTTTAAATCACTTTTTACTTCTAGGCGAAGAAATCCGGTTTCACGAGCCAGCTGGTCAGCCTGCTGTTCAACCTCAACCCCCTGGAGGTCAACCAGCCTTTCAGGGTCAACCAGGAGCTCAAGGTCAACCTGCCTTTCAGGGTCAACAAGGACCTGCAGGTCGGGTTTCAATTTATGTACTTTAATTTTGACCAAAACATCTGGTAGTTTGCTTTTAAGTGAATTGAACACTTGCATCAAACTTTAACGTTTTAATATCCTTATATCTTTGAAACTAGATGATGTTGTCCTATTTCAATTCTGTTAGGTTTGAAATATCAAAGGCTCATCATGTTCTAAAGATAAAAGTATAAAAAATTTAAGTTTTGGGCAAGTTATTTCTCTTTCCTTCATGGGGGTTATCTGCAAATGGTAAGGGATAACTGTATAGGTATATTTTTCCTCTATTTTCTATTGTTCTATTAAGTCCTTTTTATTTCGTTGTATTTGTCTGATTGGTTGACAATAGGATCAGTCTACAGGATCTATACAAACATATGTCACAATATGTGAGTTCTAAATAGACTTGATTAATACACAAACTAGAAAAAGATAAAATATTGTGACAGATTTTTATTTTTCGACGGTGCATTATGTATACTGGGTTACCCACAACCGATGAGATTTTAGTGACAACTGTACGGAATGTATTCAAGCACATTTCCCACGTCAAACTAAAGTAAAATATTTTATGTTTTTATATATATAGCGCATCTTGTTGAAAAACTCTTGAAAAGAAGAAATTGTATGAAACGAGATAAATTTGCTCTCCGCATAAAATCAAATTATAGGAGCTACAATGTCACAAAGTTGTACCAGTAATGTCATATAATTTTTACTTTCTCCTCCAGACTTCTTTTTAATGTTGCAAGAGCGAGGGAGGGGTGGCTACTCTCTGGGTTTTGGAATTGCTCCCAGGGATTTGGAGTGCTCCCAGGATTACTGAGTTGCTCCCACACATTTTAATTTCCGAGTCGGGTCAACCGTTCCTGTCCCAGTTTGTACTGTACCTAGCTCTATGGACAGCTAGGACTAGCCTGTGCAACAAGGTTGACGCGGGCAGACTTTATGCTTTATATAGGTTGAATTTTACTTTTTCTAAAGAGGCAAGAGGTACGTGCCCAGGGTGTTAGAGTAAAATGTGAAAAGTCCTTTAAAAAGGGAAAAATCAAATATTGAAAAAAGGTCTCTGCTACCCTTTTCCCAAAACCCTGATAGCAGCAACCCCTCCCTCCATGACCTCTATGTTTGTTTCTTTTTTGACAAATCATTTAGTAAACCTGTCAAAGACTATCAAGGCAGAGAACATAATTCATCCTTTGTACAGCAATGTTTAAACCGATTCGGGTCGTCATGACAGTCTTATTTTTTGTAAGAAACACTGTGTAAACAATACATTGAATAAATAATGTAAAATATTGGTTAAATGAACGTTATTTCTATTATAGATCATATTTTTCCTCCCTCGTTTAGCTCTAGCATAAATCCGCAAGTGACTTTCAAAGAGAAAATTTACAATTGTTTGGAGAGAAAATACGTGGATAACTCATTCATTATTGATCAGACAGAAGTTTAAAGGGTTCTGTTCTGAAGCAGGCAAGCCCCGTTTTTAAATGGAGAGTCAATTGGAATAACAACAACAGTCCCTTTAAGTTTAATTTGTATTGTCCCTGTAGGTCAACCTGTCCGTCAATATGAACATGCTCCCCCAGCTCCTCAAGCACAACCTCAGTACAATCCGGGACAGGGTCAACCAAACTATCAGCCTCCAGACAATAAACCAGGTAAAGGTTCAACCGAACTACCATCCTCTAGACAGTTTATCAGGTAAGGTTCAACCGAACTATCAGCCTCCAGACAGTAAACCAGGTAAAGGTTCAACCGAACTATCAGCCTCCAGACAGTAAACCAGGTAAAGGTTAACCTAACTACTAGCCTCCAAACAGTAAACCAGGTAAATTAAAGGTTAAACCAAACTACCAGCCTCCAGACAGTAAACCAGGTAAAGTTCAACCGAATTACCAGCCTCCAGACAGTAAAGTAAAAGTAAGTAAAAAATTATTTATTTATGAAATATAACAAAAACATACAAAATAAAGTGTTTCAGGAGAAAATATTTAAAAACCTCTAAAAGTAGAGGTTGTGGGAATATTTCCCCCCAATTCTAAAAAAAATATTAAACTAGAAATAAAAGGAAAAGGAAAGTATAAGGAAAGTTACATATTTATTGTTTATACTATGTTTAAATTAGTGGTGGATTGTTAGTATTTTTCGACGATAAACTTACAACTTTAAGAAATAAAAATTAAATATTTATTTGTAATGTTAAAAAAAAGTAAAAAAAAGCTTTATGGAGTGTGAAAAAGATATAGGTTCTATGAAAAACGGGCATTTTTAAGCATCTTTTTAATTCGCGCTGATTTTTGACATCCTTTATGTTTGATTATATTTTTTACTCTTATTAATCTTTTTGTTCTTTTTTTTGTAAAATCGTCTTTGGTTTCTTCGATTCTTTTGCAAACATAGCATGTGTTAGAATTAAAACATTTGTTCTGCTGATAAAAATCTTCTATTAAATTCTGTTTAAAATTCGAAATAAGATTAATATTTGAAAGCTTAGAAAAGTGTCGTTTATTTTCATACCATATTTTAGGGAAATTGTGAGGGGGGAGCAGTCCAATTTTAATAGATTTTATTCTAGGAATATAAAAATCGTTTCTGTTTCTAAGATTTGCGTTTTTGATATTTTTTGATAATATGAAATCTTTTTTAAATGTTGGGGGTAATTGATCTCCTTTTAATTGAAATAAAAATTTTATTACATTAAAAATACCTAATTTTCTGAAGGGGAGTATGTTTAAAGCCCAAAAAGCTTCCGCTGTGTGACTTATTCTAGGTAACCCCATCAAAAGACGGATAGCTTTCTTTTGCAATGATTCTATCTTATCAATATTTTTGTTTGAAGTTAGCATTAGGAATGTTTAACTAAATTCTAAATGGGAGTGGAAAAAGGAGTAATAGAGCAATTTCTTGGTTTCAAAGCTTAAAAAGTTTTTCATTTTTTTCATAGCATAAAGTGAAAAAGTTAACCGCTTGTATATCTTTTTAAAATAGTCATTAAAGTTCAATTTTGTGTCCAGTCATATTCCCAAGAATCTCACTGATCAACCGAACTACAAGCCTCCAGACCGTAAACCAGGTAAATGATCAACCGAACTACCAGCCTCCGGACAGTAAACCAGGTGAAGGACCAACCACACTAATAGACCCCAGACAGTACACTTGATGGAGAATCAACCGAACTACCAGACCCCGAAAAGTGGGTAAAGGTTCAACTGAGCCTCCTTATAGCTAACATCCTTTAATTTCGAATTTTAAAAAAAAGGATTTTTTAGCCTATATTATCCCAAGGGTATCCATGTGTTTCCGAAAAAAAATATCACTCAATTTTATACAGCCATTTGGCCAGCTATAGCTAACATATAATTATATATATATATATATATATGAGCGATTAGCTTTATTATATAGAAAGAAGTAAAATAATACGGAAACCACACTGCACAAGTATACTATGAAATGAAGTCTTAGTAAATATCTTGATAAATTTGTTTGTCCGATCTTAACTCATGAACCCCCTGACCGATCTGCCTTAAATTTTGATTATGGAAAACAGAGTAGGATAACGTGAATGTTTTAACATATCTAGAGTACAGGAGTAGAACAGGGCCCCCTGCTATGAGACACACCAATATACACTTCAATATGGAGGAGGAGAGAGAGTAAGTGCTCTTCTTTAAATTATTTTAAACACTTGAATATATTCGGCTGAATAAACCTTTAAAAGAGAAAATGATAAAATTATAAAATTTTCTGAAAAATCCTGAATTTTGAGAAAAAAAATATGGCAGAATTCTGAATTTTAGTTTCTCATAAGATGTCTGCAAATATAATTTCAGCCTATCAAACATAAGTTTAATTTCTTATATAAGTGATATCGCCCAAAGCTTCCATTTTCTTTTTGTGAGAAAAAAGCTAAAAACTAATAATTTCTTATTAATAAACATATAATCAGCAGGAGGGGTAAATTAAACTTGAGGCTAATGTTTACTGTGTGGAAAATAAAAATCCCCCCCCCCCTCCAACCTAGCCTAAACTCAAAACAAAAAACTCAAATAAAGAAAAAATGTTTAGTGTTCGTTAAGAGCTTTGGCGTTAATACTTATTTACAGCTCCACCCCCCCCCCATCCTCCTCCTTCAGCCTTCTTGGGTTGAAAGAGGAAAATATTACTGGAAACGTAATTAATGATTGAACGAGAATTATAAAAACTGTTATTCATTTTGTTTATTTTCCTTTTTTACCATTTATTAGGCATCTGAAGAGCCATATCAAGGAGGAATATATTGATAAAGAGAAATTGGATGATTCGGCTCTTCTTATGCAGTATTTTAAGGTAAATAAGAAAAAATTCTCCTTATAGACGCAACAGATGGAAGTAAGATTAGTAGCGATCAAAAGCGCTTATTTTTCGCCGTAAGCCTATCCTCTTTCAATTTTCGAGAACACTCCCTTTAAGAACGCTTTAACATAATCTGAGTGACCCTCCAATGGAAGAGTATGGCAATATGGCATCTATGATGCATTACCCTTTCTTTTTTTCTAAGATGCAGTTATAGAAATAACTATAGAGACTTTTTTGTCTGAAATTTTCATAGATAAAGATAGATTGCGCATAAGACGACATTTTTCTTCTTGAAAGATATAAATGTACAGAGATGTTTTAAAGATATTCCTATTATTTCGATTAACTAGGTCGGGTCGGTTGTGAACATTAGCTGTTCTTGTGTCATTGAGTACTTGTGGTGTACATGAGTTCTAAAGAGAGAAATTTAAGTTAGTTTAGTCCTTCTCATGTCCTTCTTCAGTTCTCGTCAATATGTTCAAATAGTTCCATTCCCGGAGTTATTTTACATTCTATTATGAAATCCATTGAAACACCAAACCACCCCGCTTATCATTGAAGTACACTTTGACCCCTAGAAGTATGAGTTCGCGTACATAAACTATCTGTGTTTATTTATTTATCTATGGAAATTTTACAAGTTGCTGATTTTTGGAAAGCTAAAACTTGTGGTTTACTAAAAGTGGTATCACATTGATTCATCCACATTGCATTACACGTTTGTGTTATAAAAGTGTTTTATAAAATAAAAATACAAAATAATATGATTTTTAAAACTGTTTAAATAATGGGAAATTGTCATTTAAAACATTTAAAAAGCATTTATATATATAAAGTTGTAATTTCTGTTTTTCTCTCTGTTTGTTTGTTTATTTTTCCGATCATAACTAAGGAACCTCTGGACCAATTTGCCTCAAATTTTAATTGGGGAACTCAGGAGACCCACGGGAATGTTCGTAACTTGGTTTTGAGATTCTAAGGGAATAACTAATAGTAACCTGGGCGGCGCTGGGTTCCCAAGCTAGTAATTAATAAAACTGTAAATTCTTGCAGATTTTTTGCCTTAAAGGCCAATGGAATGGATAGTGGAAATTTCAAACTACGAATTCTGTTAGATCAAAGGGATTTGTAGCAAAAGATTCTCTTATCTAAAAAATTTTAACAAGAAGATAAAATAGATTTTTAAAAATATTTGTCTATTGTTAAGAAGCATGACACCGATGGTAATCTTCGCCTGGACGGATTAGAGCTTCTCAAGGTACTAGATTATTCTGAAAAATATATCATTAAATCAAATTAAAATATATTTCACGTAGGATTGAAACTTTCCATGTTTTTAATTATAACTCCTGCTATTAAAGAACTAATGAGAAGAACTAAAATGCTGTGTATAACTAGTATGTAACAAAATAAATTTGTTTTCTCTCAAGCTTGTGGTTAAAATAAAAACTGAAGGAGCTACGAGGTCAAAAAATCATAGCATTAGGTTCACTTCACCTGATACTAACCTTCTCTTTCTGCCTGTTGGAGCGTAATAGTACTTTATAAGATATATCATGCATCTATTTTTCTGAATCCAATCCTGATATGACATTTTAGATAATAATGCACAATAATCTTCTTTTATTTACTTTATTTTATTATTATTAACAAAACAAAATCATTCATCTATTTTTCTGAATCCAATCATATGACATTTTAGATAATATTGCACGATAATCTTCTTTTATTTATTTTATTTTATAATTATTAACAAAACTAAATCATTCATCTATTTTTCTGAATCCAATCCTGATATGACATTTTAGATAATATTGCACAATAATCTTCTTTTATTTATTTTATTTTATTTTTATTGACAAAACTAAATCATTCATCTATTTTTCTGAATCCAATCATGATATGACATTTTAGAATTTTTCTCAAGGCAATCCTGATATGACATTTTAGATAATATTGCACAATAATCTTCTTTTATTTATTTTATTTTATTATTATTAACAAAACTAAATCATTTATCTATTTTTCTCAAGGCAATCCTGATATGACATTTTAGACAATATTGCACAATAATCTTCTTTTATTTATTTTATTTTATAATTATTAACAAAACTAAATCATTCATCTATTTTTCTTAAGGCAATCCTGATATGACATTTTAGATAATATTGCACAATAATCTTCTTTTATTTATTTTCTTGGTGCAACTCTGATAGGGGTTTTCAGAAAATTGACTTTAAATAGACATTTTCAGTCGACTTAGATTCGTAATTAGTCCTCCAACAACTCTACATTTCCCACTTTTCAATTAGAATTTTTAACACGAGATTTTTACCTCTTTTATTTACAAATTGTTAATCCAAATTTGTTATCAGTAAAGAACTGGTATTTTAAAGTCGAGATATTCTCGACAAATTAAACCAATTATGTTTCAAGTTAAAACTTGGGAAAAACTGAATGAAAACTCCTATTTTTTACGAGTTTGATGCCAAGTTCATCTCCAGAATCTTAAAGTCGACATATATCTGACATTAAGTCGTCTTTTCAAGGTTTAAACTAGTATTCTAAACCAGTTCTGTTTGCTGTGTTATGTAAATCTAAGCTTAAATAATCAAATATTAACTTTACATATTTACTAGTATTCACTTTTGTAGTCTATTGCCCGATTGTCCCATGAGGATCATGATCATGAGGATGAAGAGGATGTAGAAGAGGGTGCTAGGGCACTTCCTCCCCGGGAACCTCTTGATCTAGAGAAACTTACCGATGTGGTGGATCAAATACTGGAACAGGATGATAAGGTGAATTACAGGGGGGAATATAGTTCTGTACTATGTGTACTCAGTTAGCTGTACTGTACACTTACAACTGTTTACTAATATTGATATACTATAGGTTATGCCAGAATTAACTTATAATAAACAAATATGCAGTACACTCTTACATCATCACTCTAAACACTATATGAATAATAATAAAAATAATAATGATAAAAATATTAATAATAAGAATAATAATGATAATAATAATAATAGTAATAATAATAATAATAATAATAATAATAATAATAATAATAATAATAATGATAGAAATAGTAATATCAATTTTCATAACTGGTAATCTAATGACCGGTATTTTTAATGGATTTATGATTTATAATATCTATTATTCTCAACGACACTTATAATTATCTATTTAGAATCACGATGGGTATATTACATGGGCAGAGTTCTTACTTAGACAGAGAGGCAATCATTAGAATCAGAACCAGGACCAGTACAAGGACCAGAACAAGAACAAGGACCAGAACCTGGACCTTAACAGAACAAGGACTATGGGATCAAGTTTAGACGAGGACCTAAACCAAAACCAACCAATTTTAGGAAACCATGCAGAACGTACCAAGTAAGGACTCATAGTTAGCAGTGCCAAAAGTAGTTTAAACCAAATAAGAAAAGTTTAAACTACTCTGTAAAGAGCAGATTATACGAATTATATTAATGCCACCTCAACACTATATTCAGTTAAAACTGTAATTCCTTTTTTAATTTAAATCCCAAGCATATCAGAACTAAAGGGTTTCAGGGCCAATTAAAATTCTATAAAATCTATAAAAAAAATAAGTGTTTCAGAGCCAATTACAATATCTTTAATGAGACAAAAGTAACCTTAAAATAAAAACATAATTATATGATATTGTTATTTAGTTATCATGCTTTTTGTATAGCCTTGTATTGTTGTATATATAAAGGAATATACAGAAAAGTGGTGTACACTACCCTGTTACATACTGTACGTAGCCGTACATTTATTACAGAAGTAATTTATATTAAATTATAAATCCTTCAAATTTTAAATTTTTTTTTTCTTTATCAAGGTTTAACATTCTTTATGCTTTCAAACATACAGGGTGGCGTGATTTTCACAATTTAAGGTTTTTGTTTATTTTTTTAAACTATAATTCGATTGGTATTATGTATATTCATCTTTTGTGATTCTTGTGATTTCTACTATTTTTAATTTGGAAATTCAAATCAAATGTGATTATATAGAACTACTGCATTCCACTATCTTATTGTTCATATCACAATTTTAGTTTTTTTTCTAATTATTTATAGGGAATATTGTTTTTTCCTCTCTCAATAATACAGGTTGAACCAAAATTAAAAATTGCTTTTTTAAAACGTTTTTTAGCATCGTGACTGTATCCCCTTATTGTATAAGTATTAAGCCAACCCTTTTGATTTCACGATAAAATGTAAAATGTAAAATTATATTTTAATCCTAATTAAAAAAAACGTGAGCAGGAAAAATATGAATAAAACCACACATCACGAATTGCCTTTTTTTTACTTTATTCCCCCGGCTGGTAACACCACTGCTAGTTTTACCAGTTATATAAATAATTCCAGTTGAAGTGTTAATAGATCATACTTGACAATGCAATTATTATTTTTGTCAAAGACAAAAGTACATTGAAAGTTTCAATTTTTCCGTCTCAAATAAAGCCCCCATGTTTACGTTACGTTAAAAATTGTGTTAAACAAAAGTTGAAAAACCATTCTGATAATTTTATGGAATAAGTCTCGCTATTGGTAAAAAAGTTTATGGAGCCAGGCCTCATGGTTTTCATTCTGAATTGAAAATACACTGAGATTGCAAAGGAAAATGAAAAACATACTGCCTCATGCAAGGTACAGGGACTCCCTCATAATATTGGAAGTTTATAGCTTGCTCTAAATTGCGATTTTCAGGACAAAAAAAAAAAAAAGAATTAATAATCTCAACAATTTATAATGTACTAGCCTTATAGGGCGCTTCGCGCCCATCTTCTAAATTAATTGTGAACATGTTCTCTTTGTGTACATCGTAAAACAAAACAAAAATAATTCGCGGATTTTCACAAAAAATTTCGTGGATTTTCAAAATTTTCAAAAATTTAATGAAGATCGAATTTTGATGGAGACAAATATTTGAAATTTTGATCATTCATAAACCTTCCCTGTGGTCACGTGATGTCCCACAAAAAACAAACAGACAAACAGACAGACAAGCCAAATTTATATATAGATAGAGGCTTATATAAAAATCTGCATGCAAAAAATACTAGAGTTTTCGAGTGTATTTTGCCGTTAAAACTAGGATACTATCCAATATGATATGGGACGCTCTGTATGTATGCTAAAGGTACAGGAAATTTTATTTCGACGTATTTTGACTGCTCAGTAGTTCTGGGTGAATAAATAACAGTTTATACAATTTCACAAAGGAGTGCTGAATGTAGAACAAATGGACGTAGTAGAATGTTTGGCCGTAGCGTCAGACCGCTTAGCTTTTTCAAGCATCAGTCCTCGGCCTCCCGTCCGCAACAGAAAAGAGTTGTTTATGTCCAATTCTTTAAAAGGTTTAAATACCCCTCCTTAAACAAGCAGTTCCCCCTCCCCCTCCCACCTATTTACACAAAAGTTCGTTAATTAGTTCGACCCCCACCATTTTAAACAGAAATTGTCCTAACCTAAACTGGGTCTAATTCTAAAGTAGTAAGAACGTATATTAAGATTTTTTTATTAAAAATTTTGAATTCTTGTACATAATTGATAGAAGGGGGAGGGGGGGGCGAGTGTGTTCAATAAGCTTATACATAACACAAATTGACTTTTTTATAATGTCAACCCAGTCAGCAAGAACATTTTAGTGATGCAATCAGAGGTTGCTTACGATATCCCCCCCCCCCCCCTCCGGGATTTTTGAAGGTATTTTGGTAATTTTAATGTCAAAACCCTGACATGGTCATGTGTTCTATGTGCGAAATGTGGTATCAACTTTTCAAATTTTCCCTGGAAGAAAACGTCTTTTAAATGAAATAAAATTTGGACTGATTAAATGGTTTTCTTTGAAATGTCCAAAAATCGATATATACAGAGATCAAGAGAACTATGAACGCCAATCATCAATTATTTAAACAGCCTTGACTTAAAAGTGTCGCAACGCCTTGTCTTTTATTTTTACCGTATACCACCTTATTTTACATTTGTGTAGACCTAGACATATAAATGTTTTTAATGCGACTCGCAATTGTTTCTGATTTAAGTTTAAAAGGAGTAATTGGAAAAATACTTCTCGGTTTTTTTGCGTGGGAGCGTTAGCATCTCCGTTAGCAGTGACACTTTATAAACAAGTTTGCTAGTTAAATATTCTGTATGAAACCAAGGGGAAACCTTGAATTTGCAAATATGTCATAAATCTACTAGATGGTTTTATCCTTTGATGGATGGGTAGATGGGTAGATGGAAGAATGAATAGAGGAGAGAATTCTTTAGTCTTTTCTTTCAGAATTAGTTTATTTTTAAAATTTTAAAAATCCCTTGCAATGGATAAAAACGTTATTGCACGGATAGAAAATTAAAAACAACGCTGGGATAACTCTTTTGTTAATGGATGAAAAATGAATTTTTTATTTAAACAAAATTTACAAATTGAAGGACTCCATTGCAATTGCGAAATTAACTCCAATTCAACAATAAATGCATTTCATGTAAAAAAAACTTCACTACATGATAAAAAAATCCATTGCAAAAGTTTTTACAATTATTTACATTCGTCTTATCGTTCAATGCATTTTTTAAAGGGCTTTCAAAAATGTCCATTTTAGTTTTTAAAAAGCCGTGACCCATTAGTTTACTTATTAAGTTTGATCCTAAATATAAGCCATCATCTAGGTTGGGGAAAGGGCGCGATAATGGAATTTATGGTTAAGCATGTTTCATATTACAATTTGACATGGAATACCTCGAACTAAAGTAAATGGCGAGTAAGATTAAAATCTTTTATGTCCTAAATTATATCTTTCATAAATGTTTCACATTTCAAATATGTAGCCCGGAAATATTTGATGTTTTCATGCTTGTAAAAACAAAGCTGCGAGGTCACATAGTTGTACCCAAGAATGTAATGCAAGGAAAGTTAATTGCAGATGCGTATACTCTGCGTACATATTGAAGTTCTCTCTGGGCGGAATTTGTAAACAAGAATAGATGCCTCAGTGTTCGTCTAGTATCCGAGGAGGTTAAAAGCATTGAACTTTGATAATTTTGATAATTCACATAATAGTTTCCTATGACCAGAATATTTCATTGACTATTTATGTGAAAGATGGATCCCATCTCAGGCTTCGACATCCGTCTTGTGTTTGCATTACACTGCAGTACAAAAGATGCGTACACCTTTGAAATAACTTTCCTTGCATTAAATCCTTGGTTGTACCAATACTGTTCCATAAATTTTACTTTCTTGTTCTATCTAGTTTTCTTGTTCTATCTAGTTTTCTTGTTCTATCTAGTTTTCTTGTTCTATCTAGTTTTCTTGTTCTATCTAGTTTTCAGTGGAACGTCTTGTATGACGTAGGTAAAAAAGGAAACGGATTAAATCATCATGGATGTGACACAGAACATAGAAGATCAAAAAACCTCGGAAAGTCGGGTTGGGTTGAGTCTGGACCTGGAGACTGGAGAGGATACCTGAACCTCTAACCTGGAACCATACAACTATTCAGTCCGGAAAACTCCTTCCCGGAGTTCCAATCAAAACCGGGATAGAAAGGATATATTTTTTCAATTATTAATATAAGCCTTTAAAGGCTGGGGGGTCTAAATCTAAGTATAGCCAGGGGGGCATTTAGTGCCCCCCCCCCCCAAGAATAAGATTTTAGAGAAGAGGTATAAGGTTGAAATGCATGTTCATAGTCCAATTTTTCATGGCAGCTCAAAGAAAAACTTAGACGGATAACTTTAATAGTTTGGGTGCTAGGGAAGGTGGAAAAAAGTGTGAGTGTGACACATGTTTCTACTTGCATTTTTCAAGGGTTTTTCAAAAATATAAAAAAAACTACAGGGGGGCGCCAAACACCCCCCCCCCAGCCTGTTTAGGCCTTAGGGTTAAGCAAATTTAATTTGTAATGTGTCTAACCGAATAAGAACCTCCCCCCCCCCACATCTCTAGACCTCGCGGTAAAAAGGGTTTACGAGCTAAGGATTCATTATTAACAACAATTGTCACACAGATTTACTGAGTTACTTCCAAAATTTAGTGTAAAGCACGTTAAATTAACTAGAAAGGGATGATTAATTAGCTGTACCATCCCGTTTTCCAATCTCTAGTTTGTACATATACTGTACAATTTGCTTTAAGTGCCCAGAAGAGAGTATCGTTTTTGGGGTCTATACATTTGCATAGATTTAAGGTTTCAGAAATCAGAAAACAATAAGAGAATATAAAGAAACCACATAAAATTATATATATTGCTTTATATAAAACTGCTTGACCCTCCAATGTATTTAGGGTATATTGTACAGTTTTTAATTAAGGCCTGGGTTCATAGTTTTATGAAGATTTTGAAGCGCAAACTTCAGAAATCAGAAAACATATCTCAACTCAAGATTCCCAACGAACCATATGAAAAAACATACCTCCTACAAACCATACTGTCACAAAACATATCAAACGATAGAACATATCAAGATATTTTGTATTTTGATATGTTTCGTACTTTGACATATTCGGCTTTGGTATGTTTTGATTTGATACATATTATTTTTATGTTTTTCGTCTGAATATGATTTGTGGATATATTTTGTGTGTGCTCCAAGATTTTGCATATATTCATATTTTAAAGAAATAAAAATTACAAGCATTTCTTTCAAATCTAAAAACACTCATTTCCTAATTAAAAAAAATAACATCAAACATAATACCTCTTATTGAACTTTCAATTTTTAAAAAGAAATAACATTTCATTTTTATCCTATGATACAGCAACTGCGGCACAATATTGCTTAATGTCAAAATTCTAAAAATGCCAAGGTTTACGATCATAAACCTTTTTTAAATGCTCTGCAGGCTGCATTGCGCCATCTTTTGATTCGTATAACATTTTCAGACACTCATAAAAATGCAAAAGTCTATATTCCGATTCGCGAATTAAAAAGATGCTTAAAATTGCCAATTTTGCGTAAAACCTATACATTTTTCACAACCCCGAAAGCCTTTTTTATTTTTTTAAACATTACAATTAAATCTATCATTCTTATTTCTAAAAATACTTCAACCACTAGTTTATATTAAATATAATGTAAACAATTGATATGTAACTTTCCTTTTCCTTTTATTTCTTTTGTTTATATTTTTTAGAATTGGGTGGAAATATTCCCACAACCTCTATTTTTGGAGGTTTTCAAATATTTTCTCCTTAAACACTTAATTTTGTATGATTTTGTTATTTTTCATCAATAAATTATTACTAACTAACTACTTGCTTACTAGATACAAGAAACAGCTAAATTATTAATTTTCCGGGGAGAAAAAATAATGTATTACAAAGAAAATTTTAACATTTTTGAGAATATTTTGAATTTTTTTATCTTTTCTCATGGCCCCAAACTGTCGAGACAATTTGACGTTAATTTCCTCTGTAGTTTTCTTCAACGTGACGGTATCTTCCTCATCTTCCTTTTAATTTCTTAGT